GCACCCCCGGTGCTGGCTGACTGTTCCCCCGCTGCCAACGCCCCGTGCATCCACTGCTGTCAGGTTGCATCTGTGCCCACCCGTTCCCCCGCTGCCACCTCGTGTCCCCTATTGCCCGTCCCCGTTCCCCAACTGCCGCTGAGGAACGGGACTAAAAAAATGTTTTAAAGAATTGAAAAATAAATAAATAAAATTAAAAATAGCAAAACATTTTTGGGGTGTTATTTTAAATAAAAGCTTGTTTATTTTATTGGCATAGAGTTTTAAAGTTAACATTATTTTAAATCCATCGGCTAACCGATTATGAAAATAATCATTAGCTGCATATATAGATCGCTAGATATAGATAGATTATATATATATATAATCTAATATATATATATAGAGAGAGAGAGAATTTCAAAGGTGGTGTTTTTGTTTTGGGTTTTTTAATTTGTTTGCTGGCACTATATTATCATCTAATCCTTCTTTTGTTGATTTGTTTATTTTATCAAATGATATAGTATTAACTAATGCTACTGTGCTTTCCAGAGTACATAGAACTATTTACATGAAGCCATGTAGCTTAAGGAGCTTACAGTGCAATTTTCCTACCAGTTTCACAAACACACACAGACAAAGGTACCAAGAGGATGGATGGAAGATGATTATACTACAGTATGTCTTTAGACCCAGTAGGGATGCCATATATGAAAGAAGCCCACAGACAATGCATTTGGTGTCCCTTGTGAGTTCCTAATCCAAGAGGATAGCAGTGCAAGGAAAGCATGCCAACCACTTAGCCCCTATACTTTATATTATATTTCCATCCACCTGTCACTATGTTCAGTCTGCACACCGCTCTTGCAGTGTGCATTATTAATATATGTATGTCAGAGCTGTGGATTGTTTGATGGTTGGATCACTGCCTAACAATCAAAATCCGATAAAATGTCACGTTTTCATTAGTCATGAACCTCTCAAGTGCTTTGTCTCAGTATAAAACATAAAATATGAAGCTCTCAGTGGTGCTTCCCAGTCCTATATTAACTTTAGAATGTTTGTATGGTACAACTTACAGCTGCTTATGGACATTAATCCTTAGGGCTACATTTAGCATAATGAACATTTATTTGTTTTACTTGAGTGGAGTGAGTTTGTTCATGTTTTTTACTGTATTTTTACGGTTTCCCCCCAATTGTATTGTTGTAAACATTTTTTTTTTTGGTGGTTCAGGGGCAATTGCAAGTACTGGAACATAATCTAATTTTTATGTACACACTTAGTCTGGCTAATCCAGTTTGTCCTAATTTGCTATTAGTTTACACTGCTCACATAACATAAATCTAATTTGCCAATAGAAACAAAACGATTCCTGTTTTAAATGGGCCGTGTGCTGAAGTTGTCAGAGAGCTCCTCTGGCTTGTTTTGTTAAGCACAGTAGAGTCCTCTTAAAATAGAATCTATCTGCATGTATCACGTCCATCAAATCCCAAAAATAAGGCTTATTCCTCATAACATAGTTTGTGGAGCCATGTAACATTTTCTTTAGGTTCCTTGGCCTTCTGTGCATTTAGAACTGCAAGTTTTCAGAGTACAGCCAAATATTATTGCCCACCTTATCCTAACCAGTCTGTGTATACTATTTTGTTTCTCTGTATTGCATAGAAGCCATGGTTTCCATAAACTGCACTGATGATGGGCAACATGCCTTAAACAGCTGTATGCAGTTTGAAACCTTCCTGTGTTTCCAGGGTGGCTTTATGATGCATCCCCAGAGGGTGATTACCTGATGCCCTGGGCTCATGTAAAGTGGGTTTAAAAAATCTCGAACAGAACCTGCTCTGGATCGCAGAATGGGGAGTCAGTAGGGAACAGTGTCAGAGAATCGGGCCTGTATTGAGGTAAGAGCTGGTTTTTATTTTATCCAATGTAGAGCAGCATATTTATTCAACATTATTTGGAAGCTGAAGTTGGACTACAATATAGCCTTGTTTTACCATTTGGTTATGGGCCAATTTTAACAGTGTGGAAAATATGCTGTGTCAATTTGGTTTTAAATATTTGGTGTTCTAATGATTAATATGAATCTTGTATTTATCCATAAATGGTATTCAATTTTTCTTTTAAATAAATCGATATATATGTATGCGAAGGATGTATACAGTACAGTATAGTGGCCCTTTCATTTATTTATTTTTTGCCTTGCAAAATAACAATTTTTTGTTCTCCCATGTCACAAGTTAAGGTTTCGTTTTTTGTTTCAGATGCGTCTTCCGGAGTTCCCCCCAAGCAGAGACTGTCTGACTCCACTCACCCCAACCACTTCCTCATCCGAACTGACCCAGAACCAGTCACCATGTATTCCCCAGAACAAACGTCTCTTCACGAAAGTGAGGGTCTGTTTCATGCTTTCATTTTTGCTGCAATGATTCTCATTCTTCACATTTCACCTGCTTCAGAAAGCATTGCTCATCTAATCAAGGTTATCTTCCCATTTAGGATCTTTAGGCAATTCAAGAAGCTCCACACAAATGAACTCGTATTCTGATAGTGGTTACCAGGAAGCTGGGACTTTTCACAGCCACAGCGTGGGGAAACCTGAACTACGACAGCAACATTCATTCACGGGAACCACTGGGAACCACGTAGTCAGGTCCTCCAGAGCTGAAGGCCAGACCTTTGTCCAGGTACATTAAACATGTGTTTTAAACATGTCTATTTAAACATGTGTGAGGTTATGCAGAATGTGTCAGTGATTTAGTTTCAGTTCTGTGGACACAACACACATTATGATGCTCAATTCACAAAGCTAACACAGCCGGATTAGAATCCTTCTTTTTTTCAAAATTAGTTTTTTTTTCATCCGATACGTTATTAAATTTATTATTAGAGTGCTAATGTAAGTGCTAATCCAGTGCTAATGTAAAGATCCTTATCCTTGTACTTAAACTTAGTGAATAAAGCTTTAAATGTGGGGGTACTGCAGAACTGGATGCAGCAAGTGATAACACTTTGGGACAGCATGGTTAGTAACTTGAAATAATAGAACTTGCAGCACCTCTGCAGGCCATCACAATTTACTACAGCCTTTCTTTTATACATTGCAGTTTTTTTCAATCCTTTTAACACAGAGGAACCCTTGAAATAACTTTCAGGTTTATGGGAACACCTGCCAATAATTACTGTATCTACCACTCACAATAAGTTAGCTTGTAGAGTAAGTTGATATATGAGAATAAAAAAAAATAATTAGGAGTGTGGCGTATTTGCAACCCAGGGCTGTTCTACGCGACAAAATAATTTTCAGTAATAATGATAAAGTAAAAAGAATGAAAATGGCAATAGTCAGAAAAGAAACAGTGACAATTGTAGTGTTCCCTTACATTGGTGTCATTGGAAAAAAGCTCCATTAAAATAGGATTAAAGTCTTCTTTTTTTTTTCCCTACGTATATCCGTATATCTACTGCTAGGAAACGGTAGATATATGCAAAAACATAAAAAATAAAAAATGATCAAATAGGTAAATACTTGCCTCTGTCACCGCCGCTCACTACCAGCTGCAGCATCCAGGTTCCCCGAACTGCTGTTCAGGAAGATCTGGGTTTGCGCATGCGCAGTGAAGATCACCGGCGGGGAGAAGAAGAGAGACTTAATAGAAGTCAATGCACACAACTGTGAGCATGCGAGCTGGCAGACAACGTGGGACCCGAGAATTCTGCGCTGGATCAGAGACCAGCAACAGCTCTGGAGAGACTGCTGGAAGCTACTGGAAGGAAGAAGACCGGATCAAGAGGTCTTACCACTTAAGGCAAGTCCCTACAGCAGGATTGGAGGGAGCAAAAAAAAAGTTTGTCACTTTAAATTGTTGGTCAGTGAAGTGCCTTTTCAAACCGTAGGTCAGAGTGAGGAGTGTTCCTTACCTTTGTTGCTTACTGGAAAGAATGCCCCTTTACAGATGGCATAAAAGATGATTGGTGTTAGCAGCTTATCCTAAATTTTAATTGCTCAAGAGGAACCCCTAACAACATCTGGAGGGGAATAGGGTTCCCTGGAACCCTGGTTTAGAATGGCTGGTATATAGTGTTAGCATCTTGTTGAAGTGTAGATACCTAGGATTGACAGAGTAGCTTAAGGGGTACGCCTGCCCATTAAAATAACCGACTATGTCTGTTAGGGGGTAACAGACAGCTAATATACATTCTATTGGGGCAGGTGAAGTGTTAAGTGACTGTTGCTCTATATGGGGTACACAATTATGTAATGTAGGTGCATGCTATTTTGGGGTAAATGATCCTGAACATCAAAAATTTTACATGAAATAAGTACTGCTTTTAAATGTAAATGTAAAAAGAAAGTGGGGGGGTTCAGCTTTGTACATGTGGGTATTCTTAGGGGGGAAAAAGAGCAGTTATCTGTTTTATTTCTTTCGAGAGATGAAACGGGAAGCAATATTGGCTCAGCGATTTCTCAAGTTGTTTGTGGGCCATATGCTAAACCTCAAAGGCTTAATTTAGCTCTTAACCACATAGTTTATACTTTTATGGTTATATACTGACATTCAGTTGCAAGAACAGAGAATCATGAGATGAACAGACCTCTGAAGATCAGGAGAAAAGTAGTCAATCAAAGTAGAGCTAATTAGTAACTTTGTGAGACAATGTCCCATAACACAAGCATAGCTTGAGAACTGTACTGAAAACTAAAACAGAACCCCTAAATACTTTATGAAGGGCTGTTTCTACATTTTTATGTTTTGTTCTGTTTTTCTTACAGGCACCAAATGCACTGGCAGCCAACCGAGCAGTTCGGAGAGTTAGTTCTGTTCCTTCAAGGTCACAGTCACCTTCTTACGTGATTGGGTCTGGAGTGTCTCCATCTAGAGGCTCACTGAGAACTTCTCTTGGGAGTGGGTATGGCTCCCCATCTGTTACAGATTCACGGCCGCTTCCCACCACCAATACCTACGCTTCTACAACGTTGCCTTCTCAGAGAGCTGGTTCCCCCTACACAGTGCGCCGGGCTAACTCCCCAACAGCTGTACGAAGGATTGGGTCAGCCACTACTCGGCAAAACTCAAACCCCTCTAGCATGTCCTCATCTTACCAAACCTTGGGGACTTCTGTCAGAGTCGGTTCTCCACTGACGTTATCAGATACACAGAACAGAGTGGGCTCGTTGTCCCAAGCTCCTATAGGATCATCATCTTCTCCAAAACGTCCCGGAATGACAGCGGTACCGCAGCATATGGGAACTTTACAAAGGAACCTGCATGACATTGAACAATACCAGTCGTATGATGTCTATGAAAGAATGGTGCCATCTCGGCCAGACAGCCTTACAGGTTAGTGCAAGAAATATATATGCATTACTTCTGAAACTTGTTCAAGGGACTTTCCTGATGAGAGGCTCTAATTTTCATTTTGGTGTTCATGTTAGGCAGCTAGTTCCCCATATCAACTAAACTCCTAGAGCTGGATCTGAACCTCCAAAAAATTCAAGATAGTGGGCTCCAACTCCACTCCAGTCCCCAGTGTTGCAGCGAGTGTGCCTGATAAAGATGCTGTTCTCTATCATTCTGCTGTAACCCATGGGTGAACTAATGATACCCCTATGGTGCCCTGGGTCTACAGGAAATGAGTTGTCTATGAGTGTCACTTAACTCAGAATAGGAATGGTGCTGGACATAAGTTTGCTGAGTCTTCTGGGTACAGAACCAGGAAGAAAGTGTACCTATTTTCTTACAATGGACCTTGTACCTAAAATGCATTTTTTTTGTTTATATCCTCCCACCCCATCACCATCCCAGAATGCTGTAGCACTAAAAAAAAAAAAACGGGGGGGAGGTAATACATTAACGTTTCCCAAACTTTCAACTGTGGTGTCTAGACAAGGGCAATTTTGCCATCCTTTCTAGTGATGTCCCGGGGAGATCCTGGTAAGTTTCCTGGGAATGCTGAGTACCCCACATATAAAGACACATATGCACTGTGCAAAAGCATCTTCTTGCCATGTTTAGGTACTTGGGAATGCCCAGGATCTTGCTACAAAATATGATGACATCATCCTCACCTAGGTGCTAAAGCAGGAAGCCAGGGTAAGGTAAGTATATTTACTAACTTTTTTTCCCACACAGGGAAAGATTAGAGATCGTTCTACTGTTTTTTTTCATGTAGGTTAGGATTGGGAAAGTAGACCATGCTTGGGGGTACACGGTCTGCTTGAATGTCAACAGCCTTAAGGTGCCCATACACTGCACGAATCTCGTACGAGAATCGCGGGAAATCCCACGATCGTACGAGAATCGTGCAGTGTATGGAAGGCGTGCAACCGTTTCTACTATATGGTCGCACGTCTTCCGTCGAACCAGCATGCTAGAAAACCCGCCGGGAATCGTACGATTCCCGGCGAGTTAGTGGCCTGCTGGTTCGACAACTGCCGAACGGGCCGGTGTGCGCACGCATACACTGCCCGTTTGCAGTCATCGTAAGCCTGCCCCTCATTAGTCATCGTAAGCCCACCCCTCAGGAGGGCGGGCTTGCAATGATCGAGAGTACGATCTGCCTGTCCAAGATGGGCAGATCGTACATTTTTTTAAAGTACTTTACAACCATCGCAAGACTAAGGTCTTGCGATGGTTGTAAAGTGTATGGCCACCTTTATGTGTGGTAGGGTTTCAAGCCCCATTCACACCTGCGAATGATCACTTGAGTCTCACAAATTCCTCCGTAGGACTTGTGCGACCTACAGCTGCCAGCAGGTGCAAATAGTCTGCATCCAGATTTGGAACATCCACAGGTAATAGCAGCCTGTGTAATTACTTGGATTATACAGTGCCTTCCATCTGCAGAAGATCTCATGAGTCTCATAGAGGAAGTTGTGAGACTCATGCAATCTGCCCCATTCGTAGGTATGAATGGGGCTTTAAAATCTTTGTTCTGTGTATAAAATGTAATTATGTACATAGAGAATAGGCTTGTTTTGAATGTCCTTATTTCACTGCTGATTGAAAACTGTGATCTCTGTTCAGTAAGGACTGCTAGCCTTTTAGCAGTGACAGAGATTGTCTATGCTGAGAGCTAGGAAATGTTTTTTGTTCAACGCAAGGAGGTGCTTTTTCTTTTTTTTTTACCCAATTCAAAGCGGTCATGTGAGTTGGTCAAGCTGACTTGCATCCAATTGTTTAAGATGCAAGTTTTCTTCAAATCATTTGCATTTTTTTATTTTTTACATTCCTGCTAATGTTTGGTTGAATGGAATTCAGAAATAGATGCATTTTTTTATGAGGAAAAGGCTGAATAATTGTTCTAAATGTAAAAAGGTTTGCAGTTGGCGGATATATTGGTGTCCTTGTGTCTTTGAAGCCACAGCTCAGCCATACCCACTAGTGCGTAGCACAAACATAGCGTATAGAGTGGTTTACCTTAATTGTCTACAGCCATTTTGCTGATGACAGCTAACAACCCTAATCAATGGATATGTACGTAATAGGCTGAATTTGTGCTCTTTTCATCATAATTTTGAAATGTAACATTGATTTATCATAATAAAAACATAATTTGTGAGTTCCTTTACTACAAAATGGCACCCTCCTTATGGTTTTCTTGTGGGAGGAAACTGGAGACTCAAACTGCATTAGGAAAATCTCACCATTGGAGTCCCTAACAAATAAGAACAAGCAGGGAATCACCAGCACTCAATAATGAAAGCAGAATATGTCCCTTTAATGGACAGAAGCGTCATAGAATTAAAAAAGAACCGACGTTTCGGGGCCGCGCAGGGTCCCTTCCTCAAGGCAGAAAACATGACAATATAATGACCATCATACCCCACATATATATCCCCTGTAATTTTTGAATTCTATGATGCTTCTGTCCATTAAAGGGACACATTCTGCTTTCATTGAGTGCTGGTGATTCCCTGCTTGTTCAATGTCTGCATAGCGCCATCCGTGAACCAATATCGCAGCGAGCACCATCTTCTCTTATCTGGCCGGGACTGCTGTAAGGTGTGCGGAGAGCTCCCCCAACGACTAACAAATAAGAAACATCCTCAGCTACCCATCCAAATTGTAGATTTTAGTTAGGGGCTAAATTAACTGTATTATGTTCAGTGCAAGTCTTTTTTTGTTCCATTTGATCTAGCCCACCACAGCCTCAATAGTTCAGGCTAAAGTAGCGGCAAGTACAACTCCAACGAACCTTGCCTATAGACGTCTGTTGCAACACAACGGGCAGTAATGCACTCTTTGCATTGCGCTGCCAAAAATGGTACAAGCAGCAACGCATGCCAACACACAGCAGTTGTATGTATGGGGCCTTATGGAATAACCCAAATCAAGATGTTAGGTGCAACTATTTTGGGTTGGAATCTGAGAAATATTCCCCACATCAAAAGGTTATTTTCCAGGGTGACACAATCAAAAATTGAGCTGGGCACCTGTGCTATACTACACACGTTCAGTGCCTGGTGTCCCTGGTGAATTCCATAGATTTCTGTTTGTTGACCGATTGGTTTGATTTCTGAACAAAATACTGCCTACCACTGCACAGGTTGGGTCAGGGAGACGAGAGGACCTGCACCTGAGGGTCTGTAATGCATTTTATGCAATAAATTTTTATTAAACAAATGTGAACAAGACATAAAGAAAAAGAACCAAGAGTGCAGAGGCACATTTCTCCATAGCTGGGTTCAAAGAACTAAATGACGTCCCCGACAACCACAGCTACTAGTGTTATAGTAAAAAGCAAAAAATAGTCCCCAAGTTCAAGGAGTAGTCCACTGCACGCAGAGATCATTAAAAAATATATATTCGTCCATGGGGGCAGCTCTTCCCTATGGTCAGGGATTAAGCATAACTAGCAGGAAAGAACCCTACCTGTGGGAGGAAAATGAACATAGTAGCAGGAAAAGAAAGACAGGATGACTGAAAGAGAGGAAAAAGAAAAGGAGAGAGAAGAGGCAGGTGTAAACTGTAGCGGAGGCTCCCCACGGCAGTTAACACAAAGTAATAGTGGCATTTTTTTACATGGCTGTTTCTGAGTTTGTAACCTAAAATACAGTTGCACTTCAAGTTTACAATATCTATAGTTTTAGAAAAAAAAAAGAACATTATGGTGCCAAATGAGGTTAGTTAACACTAGATCAATTAGCTCCTAACTTGCCTTCCTGTATATCTGGGAGGTTCTGGGTTTTTTTTCTCTGCTGTGTAAGGGCTTTTCTTACAGTAAAGAAAACTTGATGATTAGGATTCTGTGCCTTCCCTTAAAATTTCATTCTGCATTCCATACGACCTACCATTATTGTGCCTCGGGCAAAAATTTACAGTTTTTTCGAATCATAGCATCTCATCTAGATGAAACAATTATCCTGAAATTCAGATCAGAAAAATCATGCCAGATGGGAACAGCAATTATCAATAACAAATTGCCCAATTTCTGCTTTCTATTTTTCCCCGTAATTGCTTTTAGATGAATAGTATTTTCACTTGAGGAAATAATTTGTTCTGAGGTAGCCAAGAATAGGTGTTTAAATGTAAGAACCATATATGCATGGGTAATACTGCTGAAACACTCCCTTGAAAGTCAAGAGCAATATAAGATATTAGCATGTTTTTAGTGAAATGCAAACTATGATTAGTTTTTTTTTTTGCATCCAAATGTTTTAAAGCAGACCTTACATTAGAAAAATTAATCTTTTAGCATTTGTTTTACATTGCTACCACGGCTTTGCAAAAGCAAAATGTGTAAAAACATTACATGAATTCTGTTTTGCAGTGAAAAGCTTGGCACTGCCCCATTGCATGATTGAAGCATGGCATATATCTCTATGCCCTTCCTTTGAAGAGACTGTATAGAGAGATACTATACTGATTGTTTGTAGACACCTGAGCATCACACCTACTATCAGTCCAAAAGACTAAGCTCAGGTGTTTGAGTACTGTTAATATTACAGCATACAAATTCATTTTAGACAATTTAGCAATTTCAACCTGATGTCAACTGTTTTGGGAAGGTGCTTTGTTTGTTCTAGCATGACTATGCCCCTGTGCATAAAGCCCGGTTCATAAAAACGTTTGTTAGGTTTTGTGTGTTAGGACTCGATTGGCCTGCACAGAGCCATGACCCATACCCAGTCTGAACACCTTTGGGATGAATTTAAATGCGGATTTTAAGCCAGGACTCCTTGTGCAACGGCAATCGCTGACCACCATTGGGCACAAATTTGCCCAAACTCTGGAATCTTGTGGAAAGCCTTCCGGTTATAGACAAGTGGGGGTGCAGCTTCATATTAATGCTCATGAGTTTGAAATAGGAGTCCAACAAGGTGTGATGGCCAGATCTCCACAAACATTTTGACATATAGTGTATAACATATTAAATAGTTAAAATAGCAATAACAGTTATTCCCCCCTTACAAATGTTAAAATATTCTCCTGTTCTGATTTCTGAGAGACCAAACATGTTCTTCCAGGGTGTTTTATTTTATTTTACATGTTTAATAAAAGGAATGTGTATTTCATTTTACAAATTTCTTGTATGATATACTGTTTCTTACAAAGTGGAATTAGAAATATTGCACACAGCACTCCACAGTTTGCCAAAAACAAGGGAAGGCAGAGACGCATAGCGCTGTTGTCAGAACACTTCTTTGTGACACGTACAGCCTTTGGCAGGAGTACTATTTGCTAGTTAATTTCCAGCCCATCATAATTATAAAATACACCAATAAACAGAGGTTTAACTTTGAAATCCCAAGCATACAGATTTTCATCCAGTTATTACTGTAGTGCATTACTCCACCCCAATCCTTTTTTTTTTTTGGTGGTCTGTGAACCCCCTTTTTGCTTACCTATTTGTAATGCAGAGTAATTTAGACACTCTAGCCTTCCTATTTCCTCTCACATATAGGCTATCTTCACACCATGTCCAGACCAGATCTGGAGCAGATCTGCAAACGCAGTGCAGTGTGTTTTTGATGCCTTCCACTGTCAGCTTAAATGGGCTTTCAGATGCAGTCCAGTGCGTTCAAGTTTGTTTGCATGTGACTTTGAAAGAAATTTACCTGGCACAGGTAAAAATTAAAGTTAGCAGCTACAAATACTGTAGCTGAGCTGATGATTTTTGAAAAACACATTTAGCAGCCTATGAAGTCCAGCGTTGTCTTCCTTGCACCCGGTTCTTGCCAGGTCTTCTGATCTTCCGTGCTGCCATCTTGCTTTCAGGAGCCAACTGTTACTTCCTGAAAATTCACAGCGGCCCCCCTTACTGCACATGTGTGCGATCAGCCCTCAGGCAGACAAACCACCTGAGATGAATTACGTGATCCTAGGAGGCTGCAGGTGGAACGCACAGGCCAATGGCAGCGTCCACTTCTTCGTCTAGGCGTGGAAGGGGAAGTGAGATCAAGTACCTGCTAAAATCACATTATGTGATTATGTCATGGGGAGAGGGGGATTAGAAGGACGGGAAGAAGAATTGAACTGTGAATGTCCACATTAACAAGACTTGAGATGTACTTGAGCAGGCTGTAGGAGTTTGCCTATTCCATTGACAGTTGCTAGAGTGGATCTAGAGAAATGATGCAAAGCTTCCAATGCTTTTGTAGTTTGTTTGTTTTTGTCCCTTTTTGGTGTAACTAAACTTCCACCTTACAAAGCCATTGAACCTCTGATGGATCTTTCTTCTCTTCCCTCACCTCACCCATATATATGTATATACACGTAGAAGAACCATTTATAGTGTGATTAAATGAAAAATAGTTTTTTCAGCCTTTTAAGTGTGGTTGTTGGCAACTTAATTTGTGCAGGATTCTTGTATCTGTGAGATTCCAGTGGAAAATGTACTGGTACTTCCAGGTGCTACAGAACGTAGAGCCAAGTGATGGTGTCCCCCCTGTCCAACCAGTAATGGGGTAGTGAAACTATGAGAGTGTGACACTTTTATTATTACCCTAAAGGAAGGGGTAGAGCTGCAAACAACTTGCATGGATTCTTGCCTTTCAAATTGCCATCAGATAGATGTCTAAGCTTTACTGACACCTACCCAGAAACTTGCATCACTTTAGAGGTGTCTGTTAACCATAAACTTCATACTACCAATGAAGTAATAGAGGGATAAGATTAAACACCCTTAGGAGACTCTGGAATATATTAATGCTTTGTAATTGTGTTTTTTTCAGGCTTGAGAAGCTCTTATGCAAGTCAGCATAGCCAGCTGGGCCAGGACCTGCGTTCAGCTGTATCCCCTGACTTACAGATTACTCCAATATATGAGGGTAGGACATATTACAGTCCAGTCTATCGCAATGCAAACCATGGAACAATTGAGCTGCGGCAAGGTTCCCAGACTGCAATTTACCGCACTGGCTCAGGTGTGTATTCTGCGTAGGTTGTCTGTTCCTAAAAACCTTTTCTCTTAGTATTATCAACAGTAGGAAAGCAATATCTCAGATTAAGACAGCTTTTCTGTTCACTGCTGACCAATGCCCTGATCTCAAGGACATGAGATGGCAAGACCAGACAGCCAAAAGACACAGACACAGTCTCTTTGACGTTACATGTATGTTTATGCCACGAGCAGGCACACCTGGTAATAGCTGTATCTTAAGACTTACCCTTAGAGTCTCTATATTAAATATCAAATCTGTCTGATGGAAAAATGGCTTCTGGGCAAACTAAATGGTTTTGTAGCATTTTTTCTAAGCAATGAGCTTTCTTGCTGGCTCATAAACCCCACCTATAGACTTTACTTTTTTTTAGGCAACTAGATCTGATGAGTTCTCCTCAGTTTGGGAGCCCGCAGGAATACTAAGTACAAATAGAATATGTTTGTCCAATTCTGGTGGGTGTTCTAATTTAGCAATGAAAGAAAACATTAGTGCCAAAATAATGAATATTTGTAACAACCTAAAATGATTGCCCTCCATAGGAGTTCTATACTTACCTGATGAAAAACAAAATTGCAGTGATTCATATAATGGAGAGTTTGGAAAGAGTGCTTACCATAAAAGTCAAGGCACAACCACCCACTGCGCTAAGCACCAGGCTGTACCTCCTTTACATAATGTCTTTGGGTCATGATTAGTTTATTGTCATGGTGATATATGACAGCCAAGCCTGTCACAACTAATTTGTCTGTAATCTATGTTGGTTTCTTTACCATGGTAACAGCAATATTATAGTTGCATAGAGTAGGCTTCAAAAATGATGCAACTAAAAAAATAAAACCTTCATCACTGAAAGAACCAAGTGTGTGGTGTCTACACCCTTTAACCCCCTTCCTTTACTGCATTTGTTGGCTTTCTAAACACTACTTCAATCTCATTAAAAAGCAGAATGTTGCCATGCAAAAAAGCAGAATGATCTTGAAGGGCAATTCCATGCAACAAGTGAAATTGGGTGGAGAATGGATTAAACATTGCAACTCTACTAAAGTCAGAATTCAGTTTATCTTTAATCTAGGTTTTCCATTTTCCAGGCGAGACAGCAGCCTCTTGTGAAATGTCTGCTGTGTAGCTTCCCTCTGAGAACTTCAGGGGATATCTGAAAACACTTTGCTTGCATTTTAATAGGTCAAGATTGGGGACCTTTCATTTCTAAACAATAATTTAGCAAAATGGGCAGTCAGGTACATAATGTAAATGGTTTGAAAATTAGAGCCTCTCAACTGGGTAAGGTTAATGCAAAGTTTTTTTTTATGATTATCAAACCTGTTGTAAAAGAAATATGTGAATGATCGATTTTTATTTTCAATGCAAGGCCCAATGTGTTAGATTTTAGCATTCAAGTTCAGATAAAACGGTCTTCCTTAACCATAGACTATCTCTTACAGATAAAGACACCTTAACACGTAAAATAATTTATAAAATGAACCCTTCGCTCTTACCTAACCATAATACATTATTTAGCCATTAACACAAAACCTGACCATAGCACGTAACCTATTACTAAAATCCTTAACCCTCTGACCCTTGTTTTTGCCTTTACTTCTCTTTTGGGACACAGGAGTACATTAATTAATTCCTGATATATGCTGACAGAGCCACCCTGCACCTGGGAAGGATCCCGGCAATACTGTCTGAATCCACCCCCCTGCCTGATTGACAGCTGACTCTGCCTCTCTATAGCTAGGGCCCACTGTGCCCACCCCTCCCATAGGTGAATCCCTATGTGGAGCGGTGACTGATAGTCACCGCACTCTGCAGGAAGAAGACTGTGAGCTGAGTGATCACATGATCACTCAACTCCCGATCTACAGAGCCAGCGTGTGACAGCCGCAGTGTCAAACATCATCCCTAAGTATTGGGAAGAGGATATTTTACTCTCCGAATACTTCTTCTTTAACACTAGGCTATTCTAAATTATTCCATACCACTGCAAAATCCCTTCAGCAACACACGTTAGCTAGAGCTATCAGCGCTGAATGGTGGGCACCATTTCCGATCCCAAAAATGACACCAATCCATCAGTGCTGCAAACTACTGGTCTGACTTTTGTGCTTCTTTTGAAAATAAAAAAGCTGATCATCTGGCTTCAGTGCAATGAACCATGTACATGTATGCAGCTCAGAAGGTCTGGCTCCAATGCTGCTTTTTTCCTTTTGGGTCATTAACTCAAAGTTTTAATGCCAGGAGATAAGCATGGGTGTCCATGCAGCTAGCATTTACAGTGAGAGATCAGCAATAGCAGCCTGCATGTTTATCTCCTGACATGTTTCCTTTAATCTTGTCATAGGCGTTACATTATAGTTCCCTATTAGGATCCTGTATAACCAGTTTATACTTAAATATTTCCATTAGACATGAGTCTAAAGGTGCCCATACACTGCTCGATTCTCGTACGAGAATCGGGCGAAATCCCGCGATCGTACGAGAATCGAGCAGTGAGAACGAAGACGTGTGACCGTTTCTACTGTACGGTCGCACGTCTTTTGTCGAACCAACATGCTCGAAAACCCGCCGAGAATCGTACGATTGTCGGCGGGTTTCCAGCCTGCTCGTCCGATAGCTGCGGAACGGGCCGGTGTGCGCACGCACACACTGCCCGTTCTGCATTGCTGTCATCGGAAGCCGCCCCTCAGCGAGGCGGGCTTTCGATGATCGCAAGTACGATCTGCCCGTCCAAGGTGGGCAGATCGTACGAGCTTTCAATAAGCATACGACCATCGCAAGACAAAAGTCTTGCGATGGTCGTAAGGTGTATGGGCACCTTTATAAATAAACAAAATTAGGGGGATTTATCAAAACTGGAGCAGCTGTGCATGGCAACCAATCAGCTTTTCTCTCATTTTCAAATCTTAGCTGAACAAGCTGAAGAGAGAAGCTGATGCCATGCACATCTGCTCCAGATTTTGATGAATTCATCCAATGTGTTTCTAGTACCCTTAAAGTTCCCTACAGATGTCGTCAGTGTATTTTCAGCCTGTCATTTTTAACTTCTCTATCTTTGGCCTAAAAGTTTTATTTCAGAAATCTGTTTTTTGGTTTGTTTTTTACCATTTTTACTCTGCTGTATAAACTATGTGATCACATATTTCTTCCTCTTTCCTTCTCCAGCATTGCCGTTTGTCTCTTAACTGTCTGTAAGACTAACACTATACTGTATAAGAAAGGGCAAGATCAACTTTGCAATTGACCAAAATCTTGTAATAAACCAATTCTGAAAGGTGTAGAATGGGATTGTGGAAGCTGAGATAATAAGTGGAGTTCATCTTTGGAGTGGTTTTGTTTTTGTTTTAGTCTGTGTTTCTGTGAACTGACGCAGAGGCATCCCAATTAATCATTGCTTACCAGTTTGTTTTGGACACAGTAAAGCCATATGTCTGCAGCCCACGACGGTGATGGAAGCACAGGAGTTAGCAGCAGGATGATGAATGCGCTATATACATGAGATGTGACCGTGTTACACCACACAATAGTCATTTGTACAGGACCTTTTGTATCAAACAATTACCAAAGGACCAGTAAATCAAGCGGCACTGATTAAATGAGAGCCCCCCTGGTAAATGATTTAGGCTAATGGTTTGATGGACATGAAAATAATGCAGTGTTGACAAGCCGCTGTACATTAAACTCTGGCAGGAATGTTCTGCAGCGCAAAATTTTGTGTGAGCTAGGAATTTTCCACTTCAGCATTGCTATGACAGACAGACTTGTCTGTTGCTTTAGTCATTTTAAGAAGAATTCTGCTAAGCACCATTTTTACATATAAACTTTTCATACAACTTACTGTTCATGTTATCTCTGTGGCTCATAAACACATGGAAGCATACAAAAGTAAATATGCTACTCCTTACATGATTCATCATCTACATGTTTGGATGATTGAAGTCAGCAGAGCTTCTCATTCACCAAGCTAAGTGATTCTTTAAGCTTAGACTTTTCAAATCTCCCTTCCAATCAACGAGGAACTGCAAAATGTGGCTCTTAACCATAGGGTTGTATCTACAGCTGTCCTTTTAATGTTAACAAATGGTAATTTCTAAAAGCTTGAGTAAAGGAAAAAATGCACGTGTTACCTTTTATCAAGCAATTAAAATCCAGCAATCATTTTCTAGGGCAGCTAAAAATGAGCTGCTCGGTCATGCTTTTACTGCATTTTATATACATCGGTCACAATTAGTAATCTGTTATGACCTGAACTCTCCAACCATTCATCTATATAGTTCCTTGCAGCTCTTTCTTCTACATATTTGCAGGCTGAAGTCACTTTTAGGTTTTACTACATGATATAAATTGTGAAAATAAAAGCCCTTGAACAGCTCTCCTTTTAATAACCGGCAGAGTTATAGGAAAGTTGCTCCACTCTGACGTGCCCATTAAAAAATAAAGACTTGTCTGCTCTTCTGCGTTCTGATCCTTGACCATTCTGTGCGTGTGAACTCTATAAATGGCTCGTGTTCGCAGCCCGGTCTATCTTGTGTCTTGTCTGAGACAGGCCTCCTATTAGCCTCACTGACCTCATGCAAATAACCTTCCTTATTAAACATCCATTAGGTGTGCTGGTGTAACATGCCTGTCAGCACTAGCTGTGGTGCTATCATAATGTGACGTTACAGTAAAGGGTCAAAAGCTTAACCTATTACTGTCTTACCTCTCCACGTCACGTTTTTAGTGGTTGCCTGCTCTCGGTCATTATCACTTTTGTGTGTGATGCATTCTGACCTATAAAGGCTTAAATTAAACCTGTAATTTTGCAAAAGCTTATTAACTGCTGCTTGAATAATTTGAAAGTACACCTGTTTCCAAATTATGAACAATAACACAGTTACATAGTGTGTATACAATAAAAGCACTTTAAAATAACCCTGACCTGTAGCTTTAAGCACTGTGGAGAACTTCATCCTCCAAAGGTCACTACAGAGGCACTGAAATCACAGCTCCTCACCTCTTATTTTCTAAGGCAGAAAGGTTTGGCAGACTTCAAATTTAAGCGGTTAGGTCTTGTTAATTCAAGTGGTAATATGTGGTAACGCACCATTCATACATTGGTGCGTTGCAGTACCATTCATTCTTTAAAAAAATTTATTTAATTTTTCACACCAATACAAAAAGAAAAAGAAGGCAACATACAAGTTACACATATTGCAACACTGAAGCGATCGATTGCAGTGCCATTCATTTTGAATGGCACCCCAGCACACCTTTACAACACACCTACACTGCAATGGACCACAGTACATCTGTGGTGTGCTGCAAAAAAACAGCAGGCACTAAATTTTCATGCATTGAGGTGTGGTACTGCCTATTTAATTTAAATTGGGCTGCCTAGCACACTTTAAGTGCTTGTTAAGAATATGTAAATACTTTAATTGTCCATAGTCTGGGCTAAAGTTGACTTTTTAACGTCTCCATGAACAACCTGCCCTCCTATTGTAATAGCTGACCTAAATGACCAATATAGGGGTACAGGAGGCACCAGAAGATAGAATTTTGGGGCATTTATAAAGATAATTGATAGGACCAAGCCCATTCCTATGTCAAGTAAACGGGTCTATAGCTTTTACATATTGTGAATTCAGAATTTTAACAGTACAGTTTAAATATATATTGATATATAACAATTGTTATGGGGCTTAATAGTGGTCATAGTTAGAAATAAGAGTGGAAAATAGCAATTATTTATGTTCAATTACTTTTTTCCCCCAATATTGTCTTTTTGTGATTTTAAATGTCTAATGCATATGCTAAAGTGATACAGTGACACACTGTGGGGCCAATTTAATCATCTGGAACTCCACAAAAATATAGAACACCCTTTGGTCCTAGTTATTTTATTCAAGTAAAAGAAAATACAAAAATTAGTATTGCAAGTATGGCTACCTGAAATCATATCTAAACTCAAGTACAAAACTATATATTGCAGCTTACCATTCCTTAATTGTGTTGGCTGCTTTTTTTTCACCTACATAATAAAATGATTTCACTAATATATGTGACAGACTGGAAAGGTAAATGAAAGACATTTATTGTTAGGCTTTATATACACTTAAAACTAAACTTAAGCAAGACAACTTAAAGGAGAACTATGAGGTGAGTGATTTTCACTCAGCCTCATAGTTCGAGCCAACGTGTGACAATTAAACTGTCACACGTTGGCTCAATAGATCGGGAAGTGAGCGAACACATACAGTCGCTCGCTCACTTCTTGATCCTGTCCTTGCAGAGAGCCGTGACTGTCGCTCACGGGTCCCCGCAAAGATTCCCCGCCCCTCTCCAATCCTCCAATCCTCCAATCCTCCAGTGCTGACTTGCGGAACAGATGGGGGAAGGGGCAGGTACAGCTGACCCTGACTCTAGATAGGCAGAGCCAGGTGGCAATGGTCAGCCAAACTCTTTGCAGGAACTGATAGCGGGCAGGGAGGTGTTTAGGGAGTTTGCAGAAATAAGGCAGCCTAGGGTAATGAAACTCTTAGTAATCAGGGGACCCAGGAAGCTGCAAAGCAGGAACAGAAATAGTAATGTACAATTTCTGGCTACTCTGTATAGCAGAGGTGTTGCAATCACAAAATTTTTGAACATAATTATTTTGGTTGGTAAAAACAGTTCATAAAGGTATTTCATCTTCATATTTAGCAGTTTGGCTGTCATAACAGAACCATTGCTAATATCCACTTGAATTGACTAATTCCTGGCTGTCATGCTACTGCAGTGGCTTAAATGCTTTCACTGATCCGTAACGAGCATTCATATCAGAAATTCTGACTTCACTTTTTGGGTACTTGTTCCTGATCGGTGACCGACATGTTTTTTTCAGAAGAAGGTTGCCCTTTTAGTAAAAGTGAGTTAATCTCCCATTGCGCTAGTGGATTGCGGAAAGAAACTGATACATTTGAAGCAAACCTGTGCAAATATATAGGGGGAATTTATCAAAACTGGAGCAGACAAAATGAAGGAGCTGTGCACGGCAACCAATCAGCTTCTCGCTTCTGTTCAGTAAAGATTTGAAAATGAATGAGAGAATCTGATTGGTTGCCATGCACAGCTGCTCCAGATTTTGTCTGCTCCAGTTTTGATAAATTTCCCTTTAATCTGTTTAATTTTGGTGGTTTATAAGCAATTATGCATCAGGTTTTACATGTACATTTTTAAAGTAGTTTTGTTGTCTGAAAATCATGTAGACTGCCATTGCTAAATGTTGCCTTTAATTTTCTGGCTGTCATGCTGATGCTTTGACTTTAGTGCCTTCTAAACTGCTGACCTGAAGTGAAGAGATAAGGAACTCATTTACATAGAGTATGCTTGTCCTGGGTCTGTAAGTGAAAATAACGTTTTCTTTAGGAGGCCAGCAGTGGAAGCCTTGTGCTTCTCTTGTGGCCGCGTCACTTTAACTTCCTAGTGACAGCTAACTCATTTGCAATACATAGATAATGCCAAAGCAGGACTGTTTCAGGAAGGTAGCAGAAAGCTTTTATTAGCAGATCAGAATAAAGAATAGATTTCAGGGGAGTATTTAGGTCTGCTATAGGAAAGCGCAGTGAGAGTCACGAAAGCTGGCCATGCACTCTTCGAATTTGGCCGGTTCTTGATAAACCAGCTGAAATTCGTTTAGTGGGTGGCCATGTCTCCACCCTTCTGTCCAGCATCCTTCGATCAGAAAATCAGAGGATGGAATATTTTTGGGCCAACAGTGACAGCAGCCAATCAGGTGTTCTGATTGCGGCACACCTGCAGCTGTCCTAATACAAAGGACACATCGGGATATTCGTCTATCCACACTAAACAGCATGGGTGGACGAATTTGTTATATTTTTTTTGTTCAGCCCACAGGTTGAATGAATAATATATAACAGTGTATGTCCAGCTTAAGCGGACTGTCTATGGATCTTGAGCACTCGAACTATAAATAATTTTTTTAGTTAACGACATAGCATGATCTTCCATTCCGCAACTCACAATCACAAACGCATAAAAAAAAAATCTTCAAAAAGCCTTCGTTCAAGGGAGGTAGGTATACCCAGGAGATGGCAAGGGCAGAGCCAAGCTCCAATTTTACAAGCATTTGCACATAAAAACCAAACAAAAAACCCTAAGCTGTCTTAATATCGATCTACTGGTCATTTTAAATTGAGTTCTCCACAAAGGTTTTTTTATTTTTATTGTATGGTCAGTTTGAATTGACCGTCTTTGCGACAAGTTTACGTTAAACAAATGTTTGCCTTTGTTTTGTAGTTGAGGAAAGTGTAAACGTATTTTCTTTGTTTTTAAAACACTGTCTAGCAGACAACTCTTGATGTGTGAAAAGCATTTACGTAGCATTGTGGGAGGATCTGGTAAACTATGAGCATTGATAGAAATATGGAGCCTGGAGGTAAAATGTTCAATGTCGATCATACCTGATGGACGATAACTGGAGGAAACTGTGATTCCCATACCAATAAGTTGGCTTCTGTTTGAAGCTTTATTTTCAAGTCGGAAATTCAAACTAAGCCTCTGGTTGGTTTCTATGGATGATGGCTACACTTTTCTCAGTTTGAATTCATTACTCATATTTACCAAATAAGACTTGTGCTGTGTCTGTGTCTGTGTCTGCATGCTACAATGACCTCACTCCATTAGTCGATTAATCCAATGTTCCTTAATTAATTGGAGTAAGCCTTTGCATCCTGCAGCTCTCCCGCTGTCACTCTGTCAGCTGCGGAGATGCAGTTCATGTCAGATTAATGTTAAATGTTTCTGAATAACTGTCACCTTCACCATCTTGTCTTAATACTGTCCACTTTTTATGGAGTTTTTACGTTCCTGTAACAATCACAGCAGGTGTCTTATTTGAGGAGAGCAGGCATGATTTTGTGTTTTGTTTTGCTAGGGTCGGGTAATCTTCAAAGGACATTGAGTCAGCGTAACACTCTTACATACCAAAGAAATAATTATGCTCTCAACACTGCAGCTACCTATGCAGAGCCATTCAGATCAATGCCGTTCCGGGTATCCGAAAGCAACTACAACAGGATGCCACACGGGGCCCCGGCTGATGATGGAACAACAAGGTCACCGTCTATTGACAGCATCCAGAAAGATCCCAGGTAAGTAGATGGCATGGGTGAAACCATCATTTTTGTGGAAATAGGGTCAGATGTTCATAATGAGGTTTTGCCTTTTATTTAGAAAATGTGTTCTGAAGATTTTTTTTATATATTTTTTTATGAATTGTGTTGTTCAGTTTTGTAATCTCTGGTAGTGGATACATTTTTGTGCTAAAGAAAGGTTTGTACTTTCATGCCATAGTTTTTCAGTAGGAAAACATTACTGGTATATACTATAGTTTAAAATAATCCACCCTTTTATTATACAAGGTAGAAGTTGAGTTTTAAATGTAAGTGCAATGGGTGGCAGAAGGCTCTCACACCAGTATAATGGTTTTACAGTTGCTGGCTACTTCCACTGCTTCTTCTAGATGTGTACTGGCTGTATTCATATGAGAGCAGTTTGTTTTGTAGCCCTGATCTGATCACTCTCCTGCAATTATGAGGGCAGAGAACTCCATAAATAGAAATATTCTGCTTGGCCACATGTCAATCTTATGTTTTTGTCAATGGAATAGACTGGGGAAGGCAGGTACCTTTTGTAGGGAAACAATAAAGTTGTATGGACAAGTTTACCTACCGGCCCAATTGGTGATCCAAAGTGGGTGTCCAGCTGCTTTCCTCATGGGCATTGAGTGATCGTGGAGAAAAGGGTCAGTTTAAGCAACGGTCGTCTCGTGTCTATAGGCAGCTTCAAATTTAACCGCCCCCCCATTTGTCATTTTATTTTCTTCAGCCTTTTGGTGACTACTTTGAATAACCTTGGGTAAACTTTTACCTTTTTTGAAGGTTATGTAAGCTCAAACAGGCCTAAAAGGTCTGAAAGAAAATTGCTGCTTCCTTATGTACCGACTGCAAAGTGAGTACAGAGCTGCTAGGTAAAGGGAAGTGTCACTTGCACATTTACCCCGTAACATTTGCATTCCCTGCGGTTATATTACTCGTACTTTTATATAATTGTTTACATTTCCCTATGGCATCCTAAGGCCTCATTCACACTGCCGTAAAATACGCTGCATATAGATGCGCACAGCATATTTTCCCATATGCAAATAAATGGCTCCATACACTTAGCTGCGTATGGAGTCATAAAGATGCACAAAAAAAGGGACCTAAGATGCGTCCAGGCTCCGTATTTCTGCGTATTTTACGTGCGTACGCGCATTGTGTGTGTACGCGCATACAGTGCATTAAAATTTCTATTAAGAATGATGCATTCTGTTGCATACAGTGGACGCATATACGTGCGTACACATACGCGCATATACGCAATATACAATTTTGCTCTTGCGTTGTGTGTGCATGAGGCTTGATGACAGATTTGGGTTTTGCCTTGCTGCATTGCAGATGTAATAGGCAAATGTTCTCTTGTGAGTGTGGCCCACCACTGTTATCCTGTATAAAGCAGCATATGTTGCTGTCTGTCCTATAAGGGAGAATCTCCTGCCTCTGATCTGTTAGAAATGGAAATTATATCAACACCCAAATACTCGGTAATATTTGTTCCTTTGATGAAATGTGATGGTCATTGTTTTTATCTTCCCTTTCTGGCAGCCCCACCTGAATGTCTGACATTTTTTACAGTGTATAACTTCAAGTATTCTAAGTTTTTTAAACCTTGTTACAGTTGGCAGTTTCACAAAAATAAAAATGTCAGACCTTTGTTTTTTCACTTCATTCCCCTGCAGAGCGGCCTTCTTTTTAAACTCCAGTTTTAACTTACAATGGACAGAAAAAGGCCATTTATCACAGATCTTTTCCCTTGAGTGCTTTAAGTACATCTAAAGCCAAGAGTCTCTTGTTTGTTTAGTTTAGGCTTGTGTGAAAGGGTTAGAACACCTGTCAGGGTTTTATTGCTACCTATGTCCCTGCTGGGAGGATTCACCCTCTCTATTTGACCTAATGACCATTGTCACTAGTAGAGAGTGGAATGGGAAATCCAAAATGTTATGGTTGTCGTCAACAAAAGAGGCGAGTCCCGCTGGGGACACTTTGAGTAACAGCTGTTAAGTGGAGATTTTCTTCCAGCTAAAGTTTTTCACACATGGCTTCTCCACTTTGGCTTTAGGTTTGTAAAATAATGGCAATATGCCATGTGGTGTTGTTCATCTGAGGTTGTAGTTACCTCATTCTAAGACCTGCTAAGGACAAATGATTTTGTATTCTGTTCTTATACTTAAAACTAGGGATGTTCAGATACCAGTGCCGATACTTGGCATTTTCACGAGAACTACCAGGGTTTCAGCGGTTGCAGCTGGGACCTGGCTCTGGCACTCCACCACTGTCATGAAATCATTAGTCTGTATTGTTTTAGGAAAACTGTCATATGACAATAAACAAAAATGTATCAGTACTTGTGTGTACTTAGACAAGTATCAGTACTTGAAAAAAATGGTAACGGTGCATCCCTAATTTAATATACCATTTGCTTCTGACCTGAAGAGAGGTTCACTCTCGAAAGCTTGTCTTTTTATTTATTTTGTTAGTCCAATAAGAATGGTATCATTGCACACTGCAATACTAGGTTTTTTTGTTTTTTTTTTACATCTCGTCTACTGGACTAATATGGCTTACCCATTTATATTGCACTATGTATGTATGTGTGTGTGTGTGTGTGTATTAAAACCATAGAATTCAAAGAGGGTGTACCTTCTTTTTCACACAACTGTGTGTGTGTGTGTATATATATATATATATATTTGTGGTCCGAGCCTTCTCAAGTAAGTGATAC